CCTCGAGAAGTAGGGCAAACGCATTCGTCTCGCCGCCATAACAATGCGCACGTGCTCTTTGTTATGCTCCTTTGGCACCATCGAAATTTTCCATGGTGCTTGGACGCAAAAAAAACGAAATGCGAGACAAGCTTTGAACATGATGGACGGTCCGTTCCGGCAGTTCTTTCACGTCAGGTAAACCAGCGACTAGGAGAATGCATTGCGCGTTTCCCTCAGCCTTGCTTTGCGGTCGTTCAGAAGCTTTTGGTAGGTTTACTAGTGTAACTAGTTTTGCTCTTTCTTCGTCAATGTTGTTCACTTCCGGGATAGACACACCAACCGGGAGTAAAACGGATGTGCGCTATATGACTTCAGAATTTCAGAAAGGGTTAAACGTGATTTTTTTTCCCATTTTGGACTGTGGAGAAGCGTGGCACAGGAAAAGAATCCGGTCGTTTTATGAATCGTTTAAATATATTAATTCCTATGTGACTTGATCACACACCCTTCTAATTGTCCAACAAATATTAATTTGATTTGATCTGAGTTCTTAGAATCGTCGTAAACAAAATTACCTGATTTGAATGAATGAGGCTCGGGAGAACCATTCGCCTGTTTTCATCGTCGCTTTTCGTGTTACGTATTTAGGCTTATTTGATTTCCCTATTTTGACGCAAATGTATGCGTTTTTCTGCGGCTGAACAAAAATTTTTGAACTATATTATTGTAAGAAAGAAAACATTTAGTAATGCAATGAAAATTCCATCGCTCAAAATATTTTTCTTCAATATCCCCCTTCCCTGAAAGGTCACCGGTGCACCTTCGATAAAATGTATCTGCTAAAGAAAAGGAGCTTTTGACAGTTTTGGTTTAAACTAGATTTGAAGTTACGGAAAATAATTACAGACATCAGCAACATACGTGGGAGACTGGTTTAATAGAGATATAAAAAATATCGACCGGGTGAAAGGCGACACACACCGCGCTCCCAAAGATTTCAGAAAGTTCCTTTAGGTACTGCATGTAAACATTAGGTACTGTAAGCAAAGCTTATCTCCAATCACATGAGAGGTGTATCTTGCCTCCGCCAAGAAATTTAATCCCCGGCAGAGCATCACGCTCACCTGGGGTTGCACTGAATGCGTTGCCGATTTGAATTTCCCTCAAGAGTGCTGACTTCTAGAGGGCTGTACACATTATGTATATTTCAATTTTCTATTTTTCATTCATAAGCAGTGTTGGAGGTAAAGCGTTAGTATTTTTCTAGTAACGTGGTAACGTACTCGTTACTTCTTCAAAACCGTGATGGGTAACTACTTATGTTACTTATTTCGAGTAACGTGTAACCTAGTTACGTTGCTTGTTACATATCCCCTCCCAGGACTTATAAAAATTATACTTCAAACTTTTGTTGTGTTTCTGGCGCCAAGTTATAAATGTTTGTGTGGTTTGCGCTTTTTTTTTTGCGTTTCATCTCGTCAGTATTTGGGTGGAACCGTGAAAGACATAACGTAATTCTGTTTCGTTTCTAGATGGAAATGCAGTGATTCTTGAAGTATAGCGCTTATGCACATCTCTGATGTCATAGAGGAAAACGTGTTAATTCTTAATTTTAAGAATTAACACAAAAGTAACGTGCGCTACGTTTTTAACGGTAACGTTAACGCGTTCGTATTATTTTGAGGCAACTTAGGTCGGTAACGCGTTCCTTTTCATTTACAGGTAACGAGGAACTTATTTCGTTACTTTGTGTTTTCGGTAACGCCTACAACACTGGTCATAAGTCGTAACGTGCCAACTCTACTAAGTTGTATGCTTCTCTCTACATAGACCGTTTAAAATTTAAAAAGATAAATAAAAAGAATGTGCGGCTGTTTAATTTTGAATGGTATGAGACAATGAATTGAACAAAGGAAAAAATGAGGTTCAAGTTAAGTAATAAGGTAAGCTAGCTGGCGTAGGTTGATAATGCATATCCAGAATTGAGAAAATATAAGCTTAAAACGGACATGCACTGATGTCTCGAACACAACCTGACAAATATTAAGAGACAACGGACGCTTTTTCCTTTGTTATCTCTCACTTTTTGTCCTGATCACTTTTTGACGTAAAACTTTAGTAAAGATCAGAACCAACAAGCACAACTTTAGGTCTTAATATAGAAGGAGGCGAAGAAGCTCATTCAGCTGCATATAGGTGTAGGTTATTAAAATAGATTTTTGTTAATATCTTACGTGTTAAATTCTGTCATTCTCAGCCTTTATTCATTTACAGTATCAATTTCTAAAGGTTCATTTCTTTTTTTTTAATGATTTTTATGCCATATTTATAGGGTCGTCGAGCTGCGATCCTATCCGCCGGCTTCAGTTTTGATGTTTACTAAAAGAAAGAGAAATACAAACCTGACGCATCAAGGCTCCCACAGTGGTCATTTTAAATACGCGTTTTATTTTTTAAACAAGGAGTCATTTGATTATTAATATGTCTTAGTGCCAACGTTATTAGAGCTGTCGATATCAGCGATTGGAATGCGTTTTCGCAACTGAAGTAGGTGGATTGTTAAGCTGTTGTTTCTTCTCTTTAAAGTAATCAGTTGATGGCCTTTTTTATTGCCTAAATTATTGTCTTTTTATCCCAAACAGTAAAGAGGTAAAATTTTCAGTCCACATTTATGTTTCAAAAATACTCTTTTAACTACTTACTCATAAGAAGGTGACCTAAAAAGGTGGCTCCATTTTTGTCAGTCAGGCAGGGTTTGCCACAAAAAAAGGCTTTCTAATTAGTTCGTTACTATGATAGAAAAATTGTGAGTTAATTGCATGGGTTCATATCGTTTTGAATAATCGTTCTGTCCCAACGTCCCCGAGACAGGTATCATATTAACATGCATAATAGTAACAAACATAGACAATTATAACTCCAAAAGAAACATTCTTAAATGTCTCAGGCTGGCAGCCAGCTAACAAGTATATCAAAATGTGAACCGTCAGTCGAAACGCACCCAAGGATACTTATTTTTTGATACAATAAAAAAAAAACCTCGTGTATTAAAAGTGATCACTGTGAGACCTCAGCACTAATTTAAAAAAAAAAGAAAGCTTAATAACAAAATACAGAAGTGCGAGCCCGGGGCCTTGCATTTTAACCCACTGCTACTGCGTTTGCTATGGGTAAGTACCTTCCAGACTCAGAACTCTGATTTGAGGTGGTGATCCTCCGGACTATATACGATGAGGGCAAGATAGATATTCTAATCGAGATTTATCACACACACACAAAAAAACCTACAGTTCCCGCTACCAGACACATGTTTACCAAGAAAGTCAGGCTAGACGATGGGCTTGTTTTTGCGAAAATAAAGAAGAGAATGCTTTCCTCAATCGAAGTTACAAATGAAAACAACCATTTTTCTATGATTTAACAGAGAATACAGGTGTTTTTAAGTAAGCGTAAAAGACGTCCCCGCGGATGAGTGAACATGTGACTGGACAAAATAGGAAATTAGATCTCCGTTTTTTTCGTTTTCTTTTTTTTTTTGTTTTTGTTTTGCTAATGCAGTTATTGTAATGACTTTCAAGATCGTTGTTGTCACTATTTCTCGAAAACCGCTTAATGCTTTATGTAACCATCAAAAATATTTTGCTTTATTTTTACCTTCTGAATGGGGCTAGTCTATGTTCTTATATTTTCGCAAAGGAAATACTATACGTAGACCTGCTTTCATGGTGAAGTGTCGCAGCGTGCAAAGCTTATTTCTACGATATATTTCAAATACTTTAAATTTATCTGGCCAACCCGGTATAGCAGGCGGTCATTGCAAGGACATTTCCAACTTTCTTGGACATCTGCGCCTCGGCGCAGGCACTAAATTGAGATTTTCAACTGAACAACAACAAACATTGCAACGTTCCCCAAGAATATTATAGATGACAGTTTAACAAAATTAATAGGCAGTAATTAAACTTTAGGAAACGGATAGTTTTTATATTCCACAACTCTAAGATTTTTGTTTTTCATTGAATTCTATGGGTGACGTTCACAAAAATGTCAATTTAAGTCTTTGTTTACAGAATATTCTAAATGTTCCCGAGGACTGCAATTGTCTAGGTATCATAATACGTATACCAAAAAGAACTTCAATATATAATTAAAAACGTTTCATTGCAGGACATGTCCCAGAAAGTTGGACATAAATGCCATTTGATTTTCATTATTTTATTTATTCACATCGCCAACGACTTGCAACGTTGTTAGAACGCTACAGAAAGCTGTTATTAATTCGGTATTTCCCCACGTGCATTTGAGGCAGAGCACATGAGCAACGACTTAAAATGTCAATGTGGCAAAAGTGTTTCATAGATGCCGCTGTGCAGCGCTGTTCTATTGTGCTGTATTTCTAATGTGTTTGTTTGCCTCCAAGAGATCGCGCGTCTATTACAAGTACTGGTGTTTCAATGTGCAGTGCCTCATGAACATTTGTTCCAGATGACATAGTTTTTTGCAGCGGAAGCGACGCTGTTGTTGTAGTACGAAAATTCCTAAATGCGTCTTTCAATTAATGTTTCCGAATTCCGCTGCGGATTCAACACTATTTAAATTAATGGGAACCATTATAACTAAAGTTCTAAAATAAGAATAAATGTTTTTTGTTGTTTTTGGTGTGCGCAAGTTTTCAACCATCTTAATTATACTTTTTTTATTTTTCATTCACAGAGCTCTTCAAACTTAAACACGCTACTCGGATACCCAAATATTGATAACCTGCCTGCTACTGAAACTAAATTAATTATTGCATGCAGAATGGAATGTCTAACCCAGGAGAGGTTTTAATAGGAAAGTGAAAACTTTACCACATATTTCGATGGGTAAACGAAAAAACTCCATGAACATTGTCAAAAACAAAACATATCGTGCAGGGTTGAGTTTGAGGACCACTGCATTTGTCGCAGAAGGCTGGTCTGCACCGCAAATTTGTGAATTTCTCCTAGGAGCGTAAACCAATGTCGAATGAATAAAGTATGCATTCGCATCATGCTCAATATGTTATTGCAGAACCACATCGCACCTGCGGAGTTCGCACGGCAAGGCGGGCCAGGGTGGTTGGAGGTCAAACGGCATACGATGGAGAATTCCCCTGGCTGGTAGGTCATAGTTCTACCTAATTAAATTAGATCTTCTTGATAAAGTTAGAAAATATGTTTACACCTGAACAGTGCACAGTCCCAATGATGTCTCATGGAACCCCAGCACACTGTGTATTTTTTCAAACAAATATTTTTACCCTTTAATAATGCCGAGATAAATGTTTCGAAAGCAGTTCTAAGACATAAAGCTTCACAGGCCCTTATATAACAGCTGCATTTCCTCTAAGCTTCGTGAATATTTGGAATCATATTGTTCAAAATACGCTCAAATAAATAGCTTGACGGTTTTATTCATACTTTCTTTTTTAACAGGTGTCCATCCAATTTGTACCATCCTTGGGCGAGAACAAATGCGGTGGCACTATACTAAACGAGAGATGGATTCTCACAGCGGCTCATTGCTTTTACGGGTAGGTGCAGACAGTTTAATTGCTGCAGCTTTGTTATCTTCTATAAAAAGTCAGCCAAATACTGGGGCCCTAACACAAAGTCTCATCATGTTTCAGACGACAATACAAAATTTTAAAACAAACGTTTTTATTAATTGCAGGCCTTTGCCTCGATTTCCCATATAATAATATACTAAATATTGCACAAAAACACGTTTTACGAAAGTTGGCACTTCACACCATTTATATCTGGAACACTTACGGCAATTTACCCTATAACTAGGAGGTATGTTCATGCCTAGTTCAGCTGGTAAATTGAGATATCGGGTTTGGAAACTTAAATGATCATGATTCATTTAGTGCATGTCACTTTAGCTTCACCGACGAAAAAATAGAAGGCTCATTATCGATGACAAAAGCAGTCAGCGAATACTAGAGTTGTTTTTACTTCAGGCACACAAGAAAACATTTCTCGCGCACAAAAACACTTTTAATGCAATGTACCTGTACGCTAGATATTATTTGAAGTTTGAGCGCCAAATTTGCAAAGGCTAATAAACCAAGCAATCCTTCCCGTGCCTCCAGGTACAAGAAATCCAACTTTGTGGTAAAGGTGGCTGAATACAACCTGCGCCAGAAGGAGCATCGTATGCCACCGACAACTATTCCGATTGACAAGCTGGTGCTGCACCCTGATTACCGCAAGGTGAAGAAGTATGACAACGACATCGCACTGGTGCGGCTGAGCCGGGCTATCCGCTACAGCGCCTACGCACAGCCAGCATGCCTCCCAGGGCTCACACTAGCCGACACAACCGGCATCAACGTGACCGTGGTAGGATGGGGACAAGTGGCCGAAGATCTAACAAGAACTCCAGGTGTGTAAGATTATTCTTGTTTTTATATAAACATTAACTGTTTATTAAACCGATAATATCCATGTAAGTTTTTTACAGGATCTCTGGAGACCTACTTCTTTATTTTGAGTCGTCGCTAAATTTTTTGTTAGAAATCAAAATCAACTTGTGTTTTATGTGCTTCCATGTTTAATGCCAGTGCCCCAAAAAAATTATACAGTTCTGCACATATGCAAGATAAATAGTTTGGTCGACATTAGGCGAATACCAATGACGGTGACGTTGGATTTGTCTTGCTTGATTGCAATGAGATGTTGATGGGATCAGCAACAACACAAAACATCTCGTTTATTTGAAAACGCTGCAAATGCTACCTATATTTTCGTGCGGAACATAAAAACACTTCCCTATCAGACGTGCACGAGCCTGGTATTGTGTACAAACACTACACCAAACCTACGTTTCAAAATGAATATAACCGGCTAATTTTCCGTGTGAACAATGTCGAGAAGCTTTTAATGTCAAAAGATATATATTTTATAGTATAAAAAGAAAAACTGAATGGGTGAGGGGTCTTACCTACCGAGAGTTCCGTTGCGTACTTGTACGCATGGCAAATATAGGGCGACCGCGTGTCAAATATAGTATCATTGCATTCTTTCCACTAAGCAAGCTAATATACTACCGGTTTTTATGGAGGTAACAAACAATAGAAAAAGTTTACTAGGAACAGTCCCAAGTTTCACAGTAGATAGTGGATTTGTTGAATTACTTTTTTACACATTCTATAAAAGAGAAGGGATATGGACTCTACTTGCACCTCTCCTCCTCAGCTCGTTATTGAAAGGGGAAGGAAAGACGAAGAAAACCAAATGATGCTTCAACAACAGCGCACGCGCATGGTTTCCAACTGCTTCTTGATTTTGAATCTCGGATTTGCTGACTGCGTAGATTCAAAGAGACTAAGCCTCGGCCTTTTCTTTTCTGCTTTTTCTTGATTTTTTTTTTGGTTACAAAAAAGCAGTTTTTCAACATGTGCTTTTTTAATATACGAATCCCAGCGAAAGCAACTTCTAACCCACATGTTTCAATTAAAAAAATTATGAGAGTTATATCAGCGCAAAAATAAGTAAAGAAAATAATTTATTGTTCTGTCAAAGCATGTCAGATACCAAAACTCTATCTCAGGAGTTGTGTGCAGCAACGGCAAAGGCAAATGCGTGGGCACGTGGCTTTCAGGTGTGCTTTGGTTTCGCGAGTGCTCGTGAAAGGAAAGCAAATATGAAAGCCAGGCCCTCGCGCCTGTGCTTCTGCCTCTGTTGCATGCAACTCACGAGATGCAGTACAGCATTAATTTTCTATGAAACGATGGTCCTTGTGTCTCTCGAAATTAAAGTAGAATGCTTCAGAATGAAACTGTAGCGCAAGCAAAATACTTAACAGGACCCTGCAATGACTTTTTGCTGTGTCTTTTTTCTTTTTTTAATTTGCACCGAACCTGAGCGCACGGTACGTAGTAACTTAGTAAACTTTTTTCTTTCGTCGAAAATCGCTTTATTTTCAAATAAGTAAGCTTTTAGCAATCTTCTCTTTTTTTAAAGCACACCATAAAAATTGTTATTCGCAAGTGGTAATGAGTTCCGTGAATGCACTCATTGCCTACGAACGCGAATGAATCCAAATATTCGTTGACGGATTGACTGTTGAAACACATACGTCCGAGTGACGCAGCGCTCGTGTTTTATGCGTGAGCTGGAGTAGGCTGACATGCTTGGGCACCGAGGATCCACCGCAGTGAAAAGTCGTAGAGTTTTTAAAAGAAAGAGGGTACGAAATAGTCCGCAATATTTTCAAATCTGCTTACCAAAAATTGACTTTCTACCATCTTTTTTGGACCCACTAAACTGTATGCGATTAGTGAAATACCAATCTAAAATCAGTTATTCCAGCCCAAAATCCATTTCAAAGGGGTCAGAAATGACGTTTGGGCTGGCATAAGTCATTTTGAATGGGGAGTTCACCAATCGCACATTGTTTAGTGGACGAGAAAAAAGAGGGTAGTAAATAAAAAAACCTACATTTCGGTAAGAAACTTGGCAAATAGAGATTTATTTCGTACTTCCTTTTCTGCGAAAGCACTCGCATTTTGACTGTGAGACACCTGCAGTACTCAAAGCACGTAAGCCGGCCCCAGCTCCCGTATTGGGCAGAAGCACTGCGTCACTCGGACACATGCCCTTGTAAACAATCAATCCATCTCACGAATATTTGGATCCGCGTTCGCGGTAAATGAGTGCATTAAGGGTACTTATCATCCCTGGCCAATGATAAGTTCCATGGTATGCTTAAAAAGCACGGTGAAAGCTTGGAATCCTCGCATCTGGTGCTCAAGCACGACACGACCACGTGATCTCTCATTTCGGTTTTGAGTTGAGGAGAAAAGCTGAGGGTTAAGAACTTGAGAAATCATTTCTTGATTCCTGGAAGTTTTATAGACCTTTGCAAAACTCACCTTCTGTGCGTTTCCATTTTTGTCTGCTGGCCTCTGGAACGCTAAGCATATGATGTAGCTCTATTGCGCGGTATATCAGAGGCTCCGCATGCGTCGATATCTAAGTGACTCGGCATTTTTCCCCCGGGTTATAAGTGATGGAAATGTCTATAATTCTATAGAATCACATTCCTAACTTCTTGCCGACAGATGATTGAATGAAATCTCAATTTATTCAAAGTACTAAATTTCTCAACTTTGTTGTGCATCCAAATATCAAAGTAACCGTCTGAACTAGAAACATCTCGTCGTATGGGTACATTAAAGTAACCACTATTTTTTCTATTTTTCGTTTTTCATGCTAGAAAAACGAGCATGTTAACGGCTTCTCTACAGACTGACTACTTTATTGAACAAAAGTAGGGTTCACATTGTTCATTGCACTCGTATGAACCTAAAGTTTCGTTGCATTCTGCGTTCAGAGTGTTGTGTGACGGATGACTGAAGCATTATGACCAACATTTCTTAAACGTGATATGCACTTTCTATAACAGAGGTACCCCGGAAAGCAACCCTCACCGTTTTCGACAATCAAATTTGCAACACATGGCTTTCAAACCATTCTATGCGGGTTCTGGATAACCACATGTGTGCCGGCATTGAGCAGGGAGGAAGAGATGCCTGTCATGTAAGTTGAACTCAGCTATCTCAAAGAAAATTCTGAGTAATAATCCGATTGTCGTAGCTAGTAACTAACAAGACCGCAATTAGATGAGTTAACAAATGTAATATTCAAAACTTTTTTGATTTGCTTCACTTGAGGCTTGCGCATCAGACCTGTTTGTCCCACGTTTGGCGTTGTTAGTCGCCTGAGAGATTGGGGTCACGGTATTATGACACCGAAAAATATATATTACCAAGCTTAGTTCGTCCAGAAATCTGTTATTGCAATACTGATTGCAGTTTTATTATAATGCCTATATACTAGGTCACATGTCACATGCTTGGCACAGATTTTGTTGATATTATATCAACAGTATAATCGTTTCTTAGTCGGTCCTAAATTATCCGATGCAATTCGATAACTTTCTTTGGCTCATCTTGTTTCCGATTTATATAGGAGAAATCTGGCCCAGAAATATTAAAGCATTTTTATAAAAATTGTTTCCAAAAGGCAGCTGCTAAATTAACTTAATATTTTACATGCAGGCTGTACTATTTAAGATTTTGCTAAACAAGGCGCTACAGAAGCGTAAATCCCAGGTATAGTGTGCTACGGCGAATCCCACGTTCATTGCGACTACCTAACCTATCACCTTGAGATTGACAATGAACTGAAGGCGCTGAGTTGCCTTGAGGGCAACATACGCAAACTTCCGATGAGCGTATTAAAAGAATTTATGATGTTTCTCGTGCCGTCAAATCATAACAATAATGAGAAAACCCGAAAATTTAATCGAGCTAACCGATTATGGTTGTATCTGGACTAGAAACTGTACGTTTCTAGTCTAGAAACGCTAGAAACCGATCGCTATAAGCAGTACATAGTTATATGTGGTATTGTTGTAAGGGAATTGATATATTACCTTGTCGTAAATTACAATGCATAGTCGTTTGTTTCGTGGAAGGATATTTGTGGCATAATAATATTGAAACAGGTTATATGTTTTACCTACTCTAATTTCTTTTCTAAATAATTTGAATATATTAAACAAAGAAAGAATAATCCACAGAAAATTTTCACAATTTAAGAGCAATTCACAGAAGATAAGAACTTACCATTTAGGTTGGCAGAAGGAATAGCCTGCTGCCTGCTTACAGAACACTGTATTCAATACTGGTTCCTGAATACTCAGTAACCGGAACCTAACCTCGTGATATACTCGTACTTTGATAGCCATCCAAAAGAAATGTCAGTGTAGTAAATACTAAATTATGTTTGGCACATTTTTTTTGTAAAATGTTACTATTGTAGAAAAAATGTGTGAATGCAGACGTTATTTTTTTTTTTGTTTCATATGAAAGAAAATGTAATAACATGACGTTAACGTAGAATTGCAAGCACATAAAACCTTGAAAAATAAAATGCCTTGTATTTTCGAATACGTACAAATGCCTGTGCTTGGGTTCATGAATTTATTTCATCGTAAAGCATTTAAAACCATGTACTAAAAATCCTAATTTTAGAAGTTATAAATCTTCTGAAGTTATAAATCTTCTAAAATGACAACTATGGGAACAAAAAACTAGCTATTTCTTTGTTTTATGTAATCGAATGGTAACCTTGGCTACCATAGCACTATAGTTTGATGTTTTTGTCATGTTATATACTTCTGAAAAATTTGAGATATATCGCCACATCCCTAGTCACGGTAATTTATTTGTTATTTTTATTTTGCAATTAATTTAAGGTTACCTTATATTCTTAGAGATGCACCGTTTAGCGCTGATTAGTATAAAAATAGAATAAACATAATTATTCCTTCATGTCACTACAGCCAAAAGGTGTAACACACCTTTAGGGTATAGGGGTGTCCTAAAGCTTTCGTTTTACAATTTACAACATAGGTATTGCACTTTGAATAAAGACGATGTTTCTATATAATTTAAATCAACACCCATGTATAGAGGAGTTGCCGCAACCAAATTTATTTAGCTGTAAGCTCTTCTGAGCAGAGCCCACAGAGTTAAGTTTCTAAACTGTGCGGCCCTGTTAGTGCATCAGGCCAGATGAGTTACGCTCAAGCGTCTTCTCGATGTCTACTTGCACAACGACAGGGGAAGAAAGTGACGGACCTTCAATTGTGTTGTTTTGACTGAGGTATGTCATAGCCCGAAGCCACGACATAAGCATGTGCACATAGTGTGCACAGTAGTTTTGTGTATAGAACCTCTGTAAGATTTCAAATCCCGCCATATTTTATTTTAACCTGTGCTTACGCTGCTAGGGAATTTCACAAAGAGTTATCTAGGAAACTGTAGTTAGCGTTAGCTGATTTAGAAAATTAATCGCCAAATATCCGTTTTAGGGAGACTCCGGCGGACCCTTGCTTGCTGTCAATGAGAGGCGATACGTCGTCGTCGGCGTGGTGGCAGCGGGTGACGGATGTGCCCAACCTCGCTCGCCCGGCATCTACACCAGAGTGACGGCCTTCCTGCCCTGGATCATGGACCACATCACCGAAGACGACAACCAGGCTTACGTTGCAAAATTCTGAAATACCGTCTCGTGCTCCATGTGTTTTAACTGAGTGACAGTTTTTGTTGTCTACAGGTTCATGCTTAACATTACTCAGCAGACAAGTAGCAAGTAACTTAAGATATCCATTTTCTCTTCAAATAGACTGATCTCACTAAGCATTCCACGCACGCGTGACGCCGCCATAACTGCAGTTCATAGGAGGCAGGTGCCAGTTTACGAGACAGCTCGTGCCGCCTCGTGCTCTGCTCGCAAAGACCCCCAACCGTGTTGTATCGAGTAAATTCCCTTGATAAAATTCATGCTTAAAAGTACCGCCAACCATTGTTATGAAAACGCTCAAGACACGCGCCACGAGCGGGTGCTCCGCCGCCATTTCATTCCAAGTGCCGCTCATTTCAGTGCTGTGCAGTCATTTTCTTTCCAGGGCCATTCAAGACACGGGCCTTTCGCACTGGCGCATTTGAGGCTACTCGCAAGGCAAACGCAAACACATCGAAGGGCTTTAGTCGTGCGTGTAGGAAGATTACGGTTCCCTCGTTGCGTGGCAGCAGCAGCGGTGGCCTAATGAAATTGACTTCGAGATCTGTCTCTTGGCGATTGAATTAAGGAATGCTAGTCATCCTTTATTTTTATATAATGGGGTTCTTTCTTATTGTTGTTGTTTTCAACTTTTGTGGAATATACACGAATTCATCTGAAAAAACAAGCTTTGAAAAGCTCAAGATTCATGCACTGCAACATAAGCAGAGTCGCAGGCCTTAATGGGAAAATTTTAAAGCGCAATATCGGCTATACCTTTAACGAATATATGCACGTCAAAAGCAAACTAGAGAAGTATTAATACTAATTCACTTTTAAAACATTCATCACAATAGAAGAGTATTGGCGTCTAGGTACTGATTCCAGACTTTACCTTCTCGCCTTACTGGCAGTAGAGCCATATTCGTTAGTGTTGCTTGCTTGCTCGCGTTTAATTTATATTCACCCGTCATGTGCGTAGAAATTCACTGTGATAACTGAAGATATTTTTGTTAGAAATACTAGTCGAATGTTTAAACTATCATCATTCTTCAGATATTGCGTTCTCTGAATATAAAATAATTGTTCTATAGATTGGACGAAAACATCCCTCAGGTAGTTTCGGAAATGACGTACCTAAAATCTGTGGGACCAACCAGCACAAATGCATTGTAGAATATCAGTGGGTGTTTCAGCACATTGAGTATGGTTTCATCTGTAAATACCACGAACCATAATGGCAGTATTTATTTATGTATTTTTCATGTGCCATTGCAATGTATATGTATACATACATATTTATATGCAGGGGACAAAAACAGGACTTCAATATCCTGCTGTAATTAATAATGTTTCGAGAATAAACTCATTCTGATAACTTTTTTGAAGCATGGAACTATGGATAAAATATTTTCCGTTATCACCCGCAGTCTGCAATCGTTCATATTCATGCACGCATAATGTGAAAAAAAAGTCTTGTGTCAGAAGTATTTTCCAATATTAAATATTTTATTCCAGGCTTTTTTTAAGCCCCCAAATGACCGCCCTAAAATTGATTTTCTTCTCGCGTAGTATTGTTATGTACATTTTTGCATCTATAAAATATTGTATAATATTACAATATAATAAAGTGGTCGGATCAGATCAGAATTCTCAACTTTCACTTGTCAAAATGTTTTAAATCCTTTTTTGTAGAATCTCTGAGTACTAGCATAGTGATCTCTATATTTTGACTGCAAAGAAAACACTTCATAACTATAAACGTTCGCCGATTGCAGTGGAGACTCAATTGTGCAATGCTGTACATACTGTTACAATTTTTAAGTTTTTATTTGATTGTTATTAAACTGTTATCGGTAATAAATGTTTAAAATGACTGAATCGTATTTGTTGTATGACTTAATATATAGTGTTGGATGTGTGTAAACGCGTAACATATTCATCAATGTCGGGGTCAGACAAGCAAAGACCTTGACATTAATTGTTTAAAACTATATTTTTATTCGGTAACTTATTGATTTACGACTTTTTAATTAGCTTGTAGAACAAGCCTAAAATGATGCTTTATACTATTATACATCTATGAAAAAGGGGAAGTGTGTTAGAGCATATATAAAGCCTAAATAAACGCAGATAATTATATATTTTACGAAAAAACATGTAAGCAAAACAAAAGTTCAACAATTTTTTATAATAAAACCAGTGTCTTTGTTTGGTTTCTGTGGCATTAACGCATATGCTTTTAAGAATGTCTAAAACTACCGTATTTTCTGGAGTATAGTCCGCGGAGTATACATGTTTAAACGTTAGAAATTGAGCCGATGCGGACTATCTACAGGTGCGGACTATGCAATGATTTGTTCTCTAGATCGTTTGCTGTGACAAGTCCTGAAGGATTTTACGAGTAACGGACTATATTAATGTTGATTTATTTGCGAAAGCTTCTTTGCGAGCTAATACAGTAGGCATTTGTCAAGGTGTGCAGTGTAGGATACTTTTTTACGTTAGGACTAGGCACTATGTGCGGACAATGCACGGGGAGGAAATTATCTACCGGGTGAGGACGATCTAAGCAAATACTTTTACTTTTGACCCCAAATTTGCCCCTGCGCACTATGCACCAAATGAGGACTGAAGTCCGGAAGATAAGGTAGTAGAAATAAAATTATACGGGAACTTACGAACTGGTATTTGTGACAATAAAAGCAGAAAACAAACATTGGCCGTCTTCTAAATCAAAGGTGAATGCATATTTTATTAACTTTATAATTAACGGATCTTACAGCTTCATACTACAGTTACTAGCTTAAGATAGAATTAGTAAACAAACGGGCTCGTTTATGCTGCATATGTTTGATAGACCGGAGGCGTCGGATAAAAAAAGGGACAATCACGAAACTTTCCAATAATCTTCAGATGTTTTGTGCTCGTCCTCGCTTCCCTGCGGCGTCTGCGGCTATTCTATAATGTTTTACTGGTTGTTGGTCATTGTTTCTACGAAGACGTATTTTTAAATAATTATTTCCTCTTGCAGTAAATTACTAAATAATTCATTCTTTTATCAAACCTTAAAGTTTCCGTTGCTCTTTTTTTTACATGTATACGAAAACAATACATCTCATTTCTTGTTTAGTATTTGATATATGACTTCCTTCTCAGTACAGTAACTTGCTACAGAATAAAAAAACTCGATAAATTAATATGGCCTTCTGATGCGCTTAATTACATCTTCACTTATTCGTGAATTTATTTAACTTTAATTCATATCGATCGCTGTGGAATTCTAACGACGAAAAAGTCTTCTCTTAGACTATAAGGTTGGTTCTCAACATGAACTGAGACGGTCCCCCCTCAATCGCTTACATAAGTGTTCGCACTACCATATTGAATAAAAGTAAAAGCCTGCGCTTTAGATTTATTTTATATTATAACGCTCCGCAAAAGTAATTTTATGAACGTTCTCCTCAAGCTACCTGAGAGCTTATTTGGGTGGACACTGAATCGCCAGAGGAGGGCCTCTGCGCTATAGGGGGCACAAACCGGATAATTCAGGAATCAAGCAACAGTCGGAGACACCTTTATGCGGTAATAAAGAAACAGCTAAGAGAAGAAACATCGCACCCCAATTATTTATAAAATAGAACATTATTAAATAGTTTCGTCTTTGATTTCTTTCTAGCGGCGAATTGTTAAAGTCTACGTTGGAGCCGTTAGCATATTTAGTGAATTAGGACGGTCGCTATCAAAAATACTACCTGCTAACGTGTCCACAGTCTAAACGTGAAAAGGACAGAAAACAAGACGTAAGTTATATCTAGCCTTATAATTTTGAGGTGTATGACCTTAAAAAGTACGTTTACCTTATAGCAGACCCGAGTAGTGTCCGTGCGAGTCTTGACACCGGGCATCAAGAGTCGGTGAAAGATCCGCAGGTGAAGGGGATTGGTCTTTGAAACGTCTTTAACACCAAAAACAAAGTTCACGCTTTCAGCAAGCCCATAAAAAAATATGCGTTTGCTTGCGTCCACAATTCATTATTCGGTTCGTTGTTGAAATGGCGCCCGTCATGTCTACCTGCTGCCTCGCTGTCACCAGAGGTGCTGAAAGATACCTTAAAACGCTTAACTAATAATTAACGACAAAAGACATTTGAACCATAAACGTTGTGCCTACAGTAACAATCTCTGGAATAAAATAGGCCTGAATTAGACGTAACCTTCACGCACACAAGTGCTGTCCCGTCTGAAGGGGACGAAAAAACCTAAACGGCGGGCAAAGCAAGATCGAAAGAAACTGTGCTATCACCCCTTACCGTTGAAGTATTGCGGCTAAAGAACCCTTGAAACGTGTAATTTAAAACATTTTTTAGATTAATAAATAAGAACCGATTTTTCTCTCTCACGTATGACATCGTGTCGCGTAGTCAGATCAACGAGTTACAGGGGCTTAGAGCGATAAACTGGCATCCCGATTACCAGGCAAAAGTGACCCCCCTTGGCTGCCGCCATGTTGTACAATTTTGACCACTAGACACGTGACCGCACTAAATCCCGAGACTTTTAAGCAAAACTGAACCAAGATTTTTATTGCGATCACTGTAAAAAACATGATAAACTATTTTCTCGGTACTTTTAGCCCCAGAGATCAGTCTCTAGCTCCAATAAAAACCTAAAATACAGCACTCCGGCTGACGGCATATAGTGGAGGCATTGCGAAGCTGCCCGAGGTTTTGTCTTAAAAGCCTATTTTGAACTTAAAACAAACGAAACATAAGTTATCTCGTCGGTACTGTTATTAAAGATCCATACGCAAATATTTGTGCGCGGTACCTTGTTAAAACCTAGACGTAAAACTACAAGGTCGCGTGTCTAGTGGTAAAAAATGTGCAACATGGCGGCGGCCGATTGGGGGTCACTTTAAGCTGCCAGCTTATCCCCCTAAGACCCGCTACCTCGTTGAGCCCAATGCACTATTTCGGTTCCGCTTTGGCTACATTGA